CCGCGCTTCCTTCACCCACGCCCACCTCCTTCGCCGAGATCAGCCGATCCTCCGGCGTCGGCTCTTTGTTCTTCAAGATGCCGATCAGCACCTCCCTCATGGTCTCTACGAGGGCTCGGCACAGATTCTCCATCACTGCACAAGTTTACAACAACAAAAAAAAAAAAGAAAAAAAATCAGTTATGGAGGAGGGGGCTCCAAAACATGTTTCTTCCTACATCTTGCCTGGTGATAGCATAGCAATCTTACATATCAACCCCATCGAAGGAACATTAATTGAAATCCAAAGAGATTGAAAAGCCCTATTAGAAGTTAGTCTAGCAATGATGGAGGACCAAAGCACATCAAACTCACCCCAAGTTTAATCCAATATCTGAATCCATGCAATTGAATTATTAACTTCAAGAGGGGATCGTTCTTGGATATTAACTAGTACTCAATGATATTTTGGAACTAGGGCTATTGAAAATTAGCATTACAATTGACACGGAAAGAGCAACTGACCTTCAGGGAGTTCCGGCTGCTCGATTGGTGAACAAAGACTCTTAGCCGCCCCCATTTCACCCCTTGTCCGCTCTTTAACATCTTTTTCCACTTCCTTCACATAAATACAACTAGCTTACTTAGTTACTTTCCAAATAATGATAAGCAGAAACACACACACACAAAAACAGACATACACAATGTCATGCAAGCCAATATATACCCAGTTCAGTCATGTAAGAATAACAAAAACTCCTATTCATGAAAAGAAAAACGTTCCCATCAATTGTCTTTTACCTCCTCCTCTTCATACCATGGAGGTAATATCTTTTTCTTTCTGGGAAAGGGTATCTTTGAATTCGTCCCAGGTCTTCACAACTTGAACTGGGCCCAACCCATCGAACTCGACCACCTTCTTCTTCCCGCGGGCTTCAGCGATCTCCTGGGCCGTTGGAATGGGCAGCAGACCTAACCCATTGAACACCGGCGCGGCCCACTCCTCCCCGCCGTCGCCCGCTTCCCCGGCCGACCTCGACCCCATGGCCCGGACATCCCTGCACATTGCGGACCCTGGCGGATTGGCGATCGCCGCCCCGGCCACGCCGCCTGCCGCGCTCCCCTCCTGCGCCGCGACCTCCTTGCCGGAAGCAGCCCCCGGCGGCCTGGACACCGGCGCTGTGGAGGCCCCGCTCGCGCCGCTACCGCACTCCCCACCTGCGCCGCGACCTCCTGGCCGGCAGCAGCCCCTGGCGACTTGGACACCGCCGTCGCGGAGGCCCTGCTCGCCGCGCTTCCTTCAGCCGCGCCCGCCTCCTTCGCCGAGATCGGCCGATCCTCCAGCGTCGGCTCTTTGTTCTTCAGGACGCCGATCAGCACCTCCCTCATGGTCTCTACGAGGGCTCGGCACAGATTCTCCATCACTGTCTTGCCCATTTCCTCAATCGAGATGGCGATTTGGCCTCCCAGCGCCTCCATGGCACCGGTCGAGTCCCGCGAGGAAGCAGCTGCCCTTTCCGTGGACTCCGTTAGGCTTTCTAGCGTCGTGACGATCACGTCATACTTGTTCGTTGTTATGTCCTTCACGGTCACGATCTCCTTGCCCTGCTTCTGTTGTTGTGGCTTGTCTATGTTCGTCATCTTCAACTTCTGAGGTTTTCAATAAATCAGCACACCAGCCAAGCTCTGATACCACTGACAGAACTATGGATCTAGGTGTGTGATTTAGGGATTGCAATGGATTAGGGATTGAGAATTTAGATGAGGAAGAATTGAGAATTGGATGAGAGAGAAGGCAGAGTCGGGTTCCCGGGGAGGGGAGGCGCCGACGGTGAAGAGAGGGGAGAGGAGTTTCGGCCAAGGTGAGAGAGAGAGAGAGAGAGTTTGGGAACAATTCCGTATTATTGCTTCCCTTGACCTAACATAACATGACATATATATAAATCGACTATTTCCTGTTTGCTACCCGAATAATTAACCTAACCTAATAAACCCCCATAATTTCCGCCCTAGCACAATATCCGAATAATACGCAAATAACAAATAAACCCCAATAATTATGTTTCTCACAGTCACCCTCAGCACGGATACCAGCCTCTGACAATGTCTCCACCGTTGCAGCACAAGCATCAAGAATTCCTTGAGTAAGGTACAGGAACCAAAACAACTTGAACTGACGCCACTTTAGGTGGCAGAACCAATCCTTTGTCATCTCCATGAACCATTACCATCTCCGATCTATAGACATAAGGTCTCAAATGAGTTTCAAATACATAACAGAGCAACAACCACTACAACAAAAACTAGTTTTTGCAACCAAAACCTTAACAACCAAACTAAGATTGGTTGCGAAAAGGTTAGCATATACGACCAATTATATTTTGGTAGCTAAAATATAAAAAAAATGGTTGTCTGTTAAAATATAAGTATTGATAACCAAATAAAACTTGATGAGACCAAACAATTTGGTAGCGAAATATTTTTTTACTATTTCCAACCAAATAAATTTAAATTGGTAGCAAAATGTTCTTTACTTTTTCAACCAAATAATTTGGTTGCAAAGACAATAATTTTTTTCCAGCATGTAATTTATTTGGTTGTGATCGTATTGATGTTAAAATTTACTGTTTGGCAATTTATAGTAAACCTCTGGGAATCATATAAAGTTTTAGATGACTAAATAATTTGGTTGCAGACATAATAAATGTTTAAGCAACCAAAATTTTATTTTATTTTGTAAAGTTTTAGATTATCAGTTATTAATAGTTTGAGTACTGAGTGAGACTACCAACAAAATTTGGTCGTTGTAGTGGTGAAGTGAATTTTTCCCTTCTAGTCCTCTATTTCTCTGTCGAAGAAGATTGTGGAGGGTTACAACTCACTCCGCCTGATTTCAAATCCATAGTATTTGGAATTTCTTTTTGTCGGCAGGATCTTTTGGTAATTCGGAGTAAAATTGACTGAAATTGCTGACTTCTGCTGCATCAATAATGATTGCTATCTGTTTCTAAATTGCTTCTGTTTGGTATTTATGGTTTCTATTGGGAGCAAATGAAGCTTGCGCTTCCTTCTCTGGTTGTAGAGAATGAATTAGGTCTTTGTTAGATGATATTTTTGATAGAGCAGACTCCCAATCAATTGGCTCTACTTCTACTGCCCAGGTCCCTGCAACTGGAACTTCAACTTTGTATTCGCCAAATTACCGAATGAATGATTGCTATGTTGTCATGATGCATATGTACGGAGTTCAATTGAATTGATATATGTTCCTTCTCTTTCCGCTAGGTTCATTGGAGGATCTGCCGTAGTAGAATTTAAGAGAGAGTTGAGTGACTGCTAATCTCTTCTCAATGGCTTGACTAAGAAAGGTGATTGACTCCCCTTTTGGTTTGCTTCTCTCTTTTAGTCTTCTTGAGAATAAGCTTTCCTCTTTTAGTCTTCCTTTGTGGTTAGTGTTGAGAGTTCCCGTGAAAATTTGATTGATTCTTGTCAACTTGGTATGTACATTTAAGGTAGTTTTTACCTGAAGATCTTGTATATTTTTGAATCGACTCGGCTAACCAATTATTATGCTCAAAGTAGATAGGTCTTCTCATTATGGTGGTGCATGGTAACTTATAATAGGATCTGACCAAATGAATATTTACATGGAAAGCTCCTAGAAGCAGCATTTAGAGCACTGTTTGGCATATCTTATGTTTGAGGACTAGACTGCACTTTCCTAAGTTAGTGCTAGTTTTATCAACTTGGTCATGCAGAATTTGAGTTTCTTTGTTGTTCGTGCTCCTTAATTATTCTATGAATAGGTAAGAGCGATCACCCAAGAGTATAGTCAGAAAGTGAACTGCTGGAAAGTTGAAGGTCTCATGGCTCTTCAAGAGGTACCATGAGCACTTACATTGCTCTCATTGATTTTTCATGGAAGTTAAAGAAATAACATAGGGACGTTTGAAGCTTGTCTTTGACTGGTTCACATTCACTTCTACTGATACAGCTTATGATCTGAACTTTCCAGACAATCACTTGAACCTTAGTCTATTATTTGAATTGCTATGTGTTGTAGGAAGCAGAGGATTAATTGGTCCACTTATTTGAAGATGGGATGCTATGTGCAGTTCATGCCAAACGTGTTACATTGAGTGAGTTTATCTTGACCGCTGCTGCAGTTTATCCCGAGTCTGACCTTTTTCATTAACCTGCTTCTCTTCTTGCTGATACTTGTTATGATGCTTAAGTGAGGAATACTTGGTCTGTTGAAAAAAAGGGTCAGTCTCTTTAACTTAGTAATATTTGCAATGCTGAATTTAGCCATTAGGAAGTTGTAGATTATATATTGTCAACCTAGTAGGCTCCTAGAGGTCAATTATGAAAGGTGTCCTCTTGGTCAGTTAAGCTAGATACATTAGTTAGACTTCTGTTTATGGTATTCCTCATTTTTTTCCATTGGCAGAGTGGTGTTTGTGTTGAGATAATGTACTCTGAACTTATTATGTAGAGAAGGAAGATAGATTCCTGTTTTCCCGGCGAGAAAAACTAGATGAACAGAATTGGATTTTGCACCTTTGACTTCCAAACAAACGATCAAACAATACAGTTCACACCTCTTTGAACAAAGTTCAAACAAGGGTGTTCAATGTTTTGATGAATTACGAGGCAAATCCACATTAAATTAGCCCTACTCCTATGGATGTTCAGTGAAAGCTCCAAAAACTACGACTATGGCTAAAATCTGCAGAGGAAAAGATAAAAAGATAAAACTTGACAAGTGGTGTCGAGTTGTGATTTTTGCGAACCCCTTCTTGTCTTCTTCACCTCCTATTTATAGCCACCAGAAGTAACTGCCCCAAGAAACTGCTCTGCTGACGTGAAGTGACGGTTACCCTCTCAACTGCTAGGACGATTACCCTGATATTGGATGTGGGATCCTCTTTAATCTTGATCCCCTCCTATTGAGACCTCAACCTCTGCTCTTGGCATCTTTTTCGTAGTTTTGCTTATCCATAGAGCAAAAATGGCTAAGGCATGAAGGTGTGCCAACCCTCGAGAAGTAACCCATGTGCCATCCAATCCTCTCCAAGTAAGTCAATTCTTACTTTCACATTATTATGGCCAACGACCATTTCTTTGGCTTTGTTATGTGTATTTTTTTTTTTTGGCCAATCTCTTTGTACATATCTAAACACTATTTGTGTTTATTATATAAGTCTTTTCTTTTACATAGCCGCCAAATGCATATAATATAGATTGTTTTGATTTTTTTTTTTGTTGTTGTTCGGCTGCCATTGCATATATATAATTGCATTTTTTTACATATAAGTATGGCCGTTTCAGTACATATTTATCCTTTTTTTTTCTTTTGTTGGCCTTTTTTTTTTGTGTCTCCACTAACCACCGTACACCTCATAGTCACAGTACCACCCCCCATATTATTGTACCCTCCTAAACCCGAGCTTGTAATGCTGTAGGATCACTAACTCCGAGCCAAACAAGCAAGAGATACAAAAAGCAACTAGCAAATACCAGAAGGAGTACGTGGCGTTATGTAAGAAACCAGGGTTGAAGATGGACTTTTTGGAAGTGAAAGAAAATGGAGAAGGTTAGCTTGGCCCTTACCTCATTGATGAGAATACCCTCTCTAATGCTACCCTTGACCGGTATCCACTTGGGGGTAGCTTCCCTCTCTACCTCGAAGAAGAAATACCGCCTACCATGTTCTTTCGCCCCACCAAAACCAAAAAACCAGTGTCCTCGTGGCCAAATAGTGATCCCATCTTCCTCAAGTGGTATAAGAGGTTGAAGGTTGACACGACCACTAAGGCACAATGAATGGCATCTGGCATTACCCGTCTATTGGCCCTTTGCGCTGCGATTCCGGATCCAGATGTTCAGCTATTCCAAGATGCTTTGTGCTTCTGGTCTGTAGGCTCCAACTGCTTTGTCTTCCCCCCAGGTGCAATGACTATCACCCTAATGGACTTAGCCGCCCTCACTGGTTTGTCTTTAGGGGCCAAAGCACCAATAGACCCCACCCCCCTTGATGAGCAAACTCCTATTTGCCACAATCCTTCACGAGTTTGCACCAGCAATACTTGCCTGCTGATGTAGGGGCAGTTATCGCCCAGAAGGAGAGGGTGGCTTTTATCCACTACTGGTTATACATGTTCATTATCTGCCCGACTCATGAATGTCCCCACAGGTCTCTATCTCATATCTTGTACCAACTTTCTGATGAGATTCCTCATGCTGATTTTCTGGAAACCATCTTGGCACATCTCTACCATGGCATGTACACCCTCATTCATCAAGTCAAGAAGGGTGTCACTCCTACTGGCAGCGATCCCTTATGGTTAGTGCTCCTTTGGATTTATGCTTATTTTCCAACAACACGGGGTGACCTTCCTCTCTTGGACCAAATGGACCCCAAGCCACATTCTTATGGCTTGTATTATGCGAAGGCTTCTCCTTTGATGCACAGTTTTGACAGTTACTTTGCTCAATTCTACAACTTAAAAAAGGGCTTCATCTTTACCCCCTTTGCTAGTCGAGTTGTGGGTCCTTCCTCTTTCTCCATGACTTTCTCTGCGTTCCCTGCTAAAGGAGAGCCTAAGACAAACTACGAGAGATTTGCTAGTCAATGGGTCAACTGGGTGGTAGCACGAGACCTCCTTCTCAACCCAACCAATGGAAAGAATGCAACTTATGTGGAGCCTTACAACCCTCACTATGTTGCAAGACAATTTGGCTTGATTCAAGGGCCTTTTTCGAACCCATTCTCACGCCAACTTGACACCCCCGGCGAGAGAAATCCGTTACAAGACAAGGAAGTGAAGAAACTTGAGGCACGACATGCCTCTTTACTCACTTCCGTTCCATTCACACCCTTCAAGTCAAGTCCATACTCCACTCCTCTTTTCAAGAGAGTGCTCTCAAAAACATTGGACGATCTAAAGCTCTTCGCTGGTAATCCTCAAGCCATTGTCAATGGCCTCCTTACCAATGTGCCCCAAGGGGAGGGCCCCGATGGCCAAACCTCGAGTAATGGTGGCAAGGGAAAAATTGGTCACACCCAAACATCAAACACATCATTGGCCAAACGCCCTGCATGTAAGCCTTCTTCCCATTGTATATTTATATGGCCTGCCTTTTTTTCTTTCTCTTCTCTAACCATGACTATATTTTCTTTGTCATATAGCTTCCAAAAAATCTCATGGTCATACTCGACCAGCCAAGCAATCATGTCCCCCACACAAACCCCAAACCAGTGCACATGTAAGTCTTCCCCTTCCCCTTAGCTAGTATTCCTTATTAGTGATGACACCCCCTAACCACTTGTCTCATTGTGTATGACGAGACAATGATGTCAGATGAGGATGAAGAAGAGCCCCCCTCTGACCCAGAGGAGGAGGAGGAGGAGGAGGGGGAGGAGGAAGAGAAGGAGGAGAACTCTGTTCTCAAGGGTGCTCGTAGTACTACCGGTATAGAGTCAGAGGGTGGTGACGACAAAACTGCCGACGAAGGTTCTGAAGAAGGGGAGGCCGAGATCATAGAACACACGGGAAAAAATAAATGGGGTCTCCATTCATCTTCGTCTTCACCCCATGCTCGTGATCCTCAACCCTCGGCCAACTTGGTGCCACACCCCCCTCGTCCTCCTACCTTGTGGGCTGGTTCTACCACTCCCCCCCCCCCACCCTCCTCACACCAGGGGGTCCAGGGATGACTAAAGGGGCAACTCCACCTACCACCTCCTGGTATCTTGGGATTTAATCAGTTCCCTCCGGGCCTACCATATTTGGACACTCCTTACACACAAGTGGTACTTCTTTTCAAGTTCCACCAACCAACTTGTTTTCAGGTATCCAATTTTTTTTAATGTCAAATGCCAACTTCTAATGTCCATTTATGCATACAGTTTGAGTAACACATTTCCCTCAGGTCCCCACAACGACTCCATTCATGGAGGTGAAGGAGTGATAGTGGATGCCAGCACCCACCAAATGAGCCTTTTAATGGAGGCGGCCGAGGAGGAGCAATACCCACATCCTACTGGCCTCATGGGTAATCCTTCAACACTTGAACGAGTAGAGAGCCCCCTGGGCTTGGTAAGCAGCACGTCAAAACAAAAAACCTCCTCTCTATTTTTTTTATACTGAAGACACCAATATTTCATATGTACAAAACTTGCAGGGTGCCACCACTCTTAATGATGACCTCCAATTCCTACGAGACTTGGAGAGCCAATATCAGGTGGCTGCCACCAACCCTTTTGCCAACCCGCCTTCTTCATCCATTCATGAAGCCCTAGATGACGTTGACAACTTTCTATCTTACACTTTGGACGAAGTCATAGGGGCTTTTGACTCTGCCTGGCCTGAACAAGCCCTTGCTCTTTTGTCCAAGCTCGAGCTTCACATCCCACTACCAGGTTTGAGCATGGACCACATGCTATCTATGCACACTGCTTCAGACACCATCAAATCATGTCTTGGGGCTATCGAGCAGGCTAAAATGTTGAAGGATACCATGCTCCACTAAGAAAATGCTAGAGCCACCACTTCCACCTCCTTTCAAGGGAAAGTATCACAAGGCAAGGCCATGTCAAGTCAGGTTACCATCCTTGAAGCCAGGAAAAATGCTCGCTCTTCTAGGATAGCCGAGTTGGAGGCTGAACTCAGTAGGCTTCGTGCAGAGGAGGCACAAGAGCAAACCCAGTCAGTCTCTAATTCGAAACTTCAACGTGTTGATGGGTGAAATTCGTGCTCTTGCTGACCAGGAGAAGACTCTTACTCCCATGAAGGAAATAACCCTTCACCGAGCAAAAGCTTACCAGGAGGAGCGTGATAACAATGCCAAGCTTGTTAAACTGAGGGCCACCTTTGATGAAATCAAGAAGATCCTCCATCCTTGAAACTCGATTTTCATTTATGCCCCATGTTTGCTTTTCTGTTCCTTTCCATTATGAATAGTCAGCTTAGCCACTTTGTTGGCCTTTGTTTGATTTCCTTTCTTTTGATCGAATGAGTATGATTTGGATTTTTTCGTTCCCCTATGCATACGTGCCCCTCATATCTTTTTCCATCTCACACAAAGATCATGCCCCCATGCCAATATGACCACCAACACTCATGGTCAATCTTAAATCACGTGGCATGGTATATTTTGAAACTATTGGGACCAAAACAATACCATACCCTCCTAGTTAATCCCAATTGCTACTAATCACCCCCATGCCAATCACCATCCCCCCACGTCTTGTCATGGGGTATCGTTCACATCTTAGCACAATTTTAAGGTTTGGCATGGGGTTAGGCCACCTTAGTGGCCTAACAGTCTCAAGACTTACAACAACCCACGTCCCAAAGAGAAGGGATGTAAGGTTTCAAGTATTTTCCATTGATTAAACATTCATGGAACACTCCATCAAGATCCTTTAGTAAATAAGCTCCATTGGGACGAGTAGAATGAACAATGAAGGGTCCACCCCAGTTAGGAGACCATTAAGTTATCTCCAATGGGCAAATGAAGCTTCCATACCAACTCTCGTTCCTCAAATAACTTGTGCTTGACTCTCTTATTGTAAGCACGAGCCACCTTGTCCTTTTGTACCCGGATATTATCGAGAGCTTTGAGTTCGAGTTCATCAAGATCACACAATCCCAACATCATGGACTCATAGTACTCAGATGGTGCTAGCTCATGTTGGCGCATGTATCTTGGCCATGTTTCCGGCCATTGTTTCCGGCCACCGCCTCTGACACTTGGCCATGTTCAATGTTGGCCACCTACTCCTCCACAAAACTAGCCGGAGCGTCACCTTCTTGATTCCTCCGCCTCGGAGCCATCAAATCGAACACACGTGTCCCACCAGGTGTGCCAATTGGTTTTCCCGGCGAGAAAAACTAGTGAACATAATTGGATTTTGCACCTTTGACTTCCAAACAAACGATCAAACAACTCAGTTCACACCTCTTTGAACAAAGTTCAAACAAGGGTGTTCAATGTTTTGATGAATTACGAGGAAAATCTACATTAAATTAGCCCTACTCCTATGGAGGTTCAGTGAGAGCTCCAAAAACT